GATTGATTGATTGACTGATTGATTGATTGGTTTTGAGCTGGGCACAGTGGTACATGCCTATAATCCCAGCACTCAAGAGGTAAAGGCAGAAGCCAGGTGGTGGTGGCACATGCCTTTGATCTCAGCACTCAGGAGGCATAGCCAGGCAGATCTCTGTGAGTTCAAGGCCAGACTGGTCTATAGAGCGAGATCCAGGACAGGCACCAAAACTATACACAGAGAAACCCTGTCTCGAAACAAAACAAAACAACACAACAACAAAAAAGAGGTAGAGGCAGGAGGATGAAGAGTTCAAGTTCATCCTTGAGTACACAGCAACTTTGAGGCCAACCTGGAATACATGAGACACTGCCAATAAAAAAGAAGAGTTGGGCTGGAGAGGTTGCTCAGTGGTTAGAGCACTGGCTGTGCTTCCAGGAGACCCAGGTTCGATTCCCTGTCCCAGATGACTCAATGTCCTCTCCTGACCTCTGTGGGCACTACATATACATGGTGCCTAGACACAAATGCAGACAAAACATCCATATACATAAAAAAAATTAAATGCCTAAAAAACAAAAAGCCTTTTTAAAGGGGAAGATCACACCAAGAAAGATGGAGAAAGATTGGCAAAGGGAGAGGTAAACCAATTCGGCATTACATGTATGAGAGTATTACTCTTGATTTATCTAGTAATCATCCCTCCTCTTCATGTGTACAAAATGTCCGCTAATAAACATTAAAACTTCATATATTCAAAAATAAACACAGATCTAGACATGGTGGTACATGTCTACGGTCACAGAACTGGGGAAGCTACATGTGACCTTCTCATCAATCACTTTGAAGCCATCTCAGTTATTAGAATGGCTGTTACAGACTCAAAATGCTATGGCTACAAAACTCTAAATTTACTTAATAAAATTCCCTAAATGTAAGATCACTGATGCTGGTAACTTTATTATAGGAAAGTGTAAAACTTAATCTATTTTTATTATTAATGACTATTTATTCCGTACCTAGTTTAGACATTAAACTTTATCATAGGTCATGTATGTATGGGGGGAAACACAATATCAACAGGATTCTGTTGTAGAATATTATTTTAAGATGTGCTACATTTGTTTATACTGTGGAATATTTATTTTTTCAGATTTCTTTATTATTATGTATACAGAAGAGGGTGCCAGATCTCATTACAGATGGCTGTGAGCCACCATGTGGCTGCTGGGAATTGAACTCAGCACCTCTGGAAGAGCAGTCGGTGCTCTTAACCTCTGAGCCATCTATCTCTCCAGCCCGGAATATTTATTTTAAGGATGCAAAGATGCGTTGCATTCTTTTATGTTTGCATTTGTTTAACTCTGTGAAGCTGTGTTATTTTGCCTGTCTAAAACACCTGATGGTCTAATAAACAGCTGAACAGCCAATAGCAAGGCAGGAGAAAGAATTGGTGGGGCTGGCAGGCAGAGAGAATAAATAGAGGGAGAAATCTGGAGGAGAGAGAAGAAAGAGTAAGAGAATAAGGAGAGGAGGATGCTAGTGAAAGTAAGATATACAGAAGTAAGAAAAGGAAAAAGCCCAGAGGCAAAAGGTAGATGGGATAATTTAAAGTTAAGAAAAGCTGGGAAGAAAGCCAAGCTAAGGCTGAATGTTTATAATTAAGAATAATCCTCTGTGCGTGATCTATTTGAGGCAGGCACCCCAAAAGAGCAAAAACAACCAACAACAGAATTATGTGTTTTCTATGGCCTTAGGCATCCACCATTGGCCTTCACCCTGTGGATGGGTGTTGCTACTATACTTAGCCATCAGATTACTCCATTGGCCTCATGATACTATTGACCCAGTACACCCATAGTATCCTGCTCAAATGCCCTATGGTTGCAGAAACACTTGCTAACAGCCATCTCCAGTGGATGAGAAGCCTGTGAGGACAGGGTGCTATTGGCCTTGTCCCACACTCCATTCAGCACCTAGAATATTGACATGGCAGAGCCTGTCTTTGAGAAGTGCCTGCAGGACACATTGGTGGGTGAGGGCTCAGTGGACAAGTGGATCAGGACACCAGTGGCAAGTGAGTGGCCGAGGCAGTAAGAAGCCACAAATGTCAAGTACCTGTGTCTCCTTTGTCACCCTTGGAACCATCTCGTCCATCTCTTCCCGGTAGGCCATTGTGACCTGGATTCCCAGGGATGCCAGAGTGCCCCTGCCGGCAGGTGTCCTGGGAGTACACACTCCTTGCACATGTGCCCATAACCAACAGGAGCCACCAAATCCTCATGGTCAGACGACAGGGATTGGACTGAAAGAGGGAAACAGAAACTGAAAAATGCGTGGTCGCTGGGTGTAGGTATAGTTGCTGGTCATGGACACAGCCTCTCATCTCTGCAGTGGGACCGGCCTTGGTCTTTGGGCATGGACACAGTTGCTGGGGCATGACCTGGCCTTTTCTCTCTGCACTGACAAAGGCTTGAACATGATCTTATGTGTTCGATATTCAGAGCAGGGAAAACAGAAACCAGGCAGTTGACCAAACTGTCACCAAGCCTGCACAGTGGCACATGCCTGTAATCCTAGCACTAGGAAGACTGAGGAAAAAAAAAACAACAAAAAAACAAAACAAAACCAAAAAAAAACATAAGTTCTAGATCAGCCTGAGCTATATAGTGAGACTCTATTGTTGAGAGAGAGGGAGCGGGGTGGGGGAGGCACATTATCCTCAGGTGGTAACACACACTCAAGACCACTTTTAATGGTCAATAAATGTGGAAGCCAAGTTTTGAGGTCCGGAGAGTCTTTTATTTATTGTTTCAATTTGAGCAAGCCACTTTTTTTAGCTAGAGCAAAATGTTTTCTTATCTCATGGAGCAGATATAAAGACCAAATTTGACCATAAGATACATGGAAAGGCACACTAAAAATAATAAGACCCACATAGAATTACCATCTGAGCCAGCAATTCTATTCCTGGGAATAGAGCCAAACAAAAACAAAACAACAACAAAAACAGAGAGACTTGAACAAGCCCTGTGCTATGGAATAATTAATCCCTTTGTACACTGTGAAGATTTGTCACTGTGATTGATTTAATAAACAAGCTGACTGGCCAGTATCTGAACAGAGTAAGGTTAGGTGGGAAAGCCAAACTGAGAATGCTGGGCAAGAGAAGGGCAGAGTCAGGAGTCACCAGCAGAGAGACAGAGAGAAGCAAGAATGGCATGCCATACTGAGAAAAGGTACCAAGCCATGTGGCAGAGGGTAGATAAGGAAATATGGGTTAATTTAAAGTGTAAGAGTTACTAGTAACAAGCCCGAGCTATTGGCTGAGCATTTATAATTAATATTAAGCCTCTGTGTTTATTTAAGAGCTGCCAGCAGGACAGAAACTCCCACCTACAGCTTTGTTCCTGGCAGCAATGTCCACAGAGGCCACAAGGGGGAGAGCAGCCCATGTGGCCATTAGTGGATGAGTTATAGAATATATATATATATATATATATATATATATATGTATGTATATGTATATGTATATGTATATGTATGTATGTATATAAATACAGTGGAATGCCATTTGGCCCTCAGAAAGTCAGGAAATCCCAAACTCATGCTACCTCATGGATGAACCTTGAGGATATTAGGCAATGACAAAATCTGGGACTGAAAGATTGATCTGTGTGAGTCTTATTTAAAGTATGCAAAGTGGTCCAACCCATGGAGAAAGCAATATAGCCCGTGCCAGGAGCTGAAGGGGTGTGGGTGCTGTTCAGTGAAAGATGAAACTTCTCCAGATATATGTTGGTGAAGGTTGCAGGATGATGTGAACATACTTATTGCTACTCAGTCATACACTTAAGATGGCTCAAACTGGTAAGTTTGAATTTATATATGTATTTTATCACAATAAAAGACAAGAAAACATTAAAGCTGAGGATGTGACTCAATTGTAGAAAGGCTGCCTCGCACACACGGGGCCCTGAGTTCCATCCCAGTACCATACACATGTAACAGAAATTACGTGGCATTAACAGCAATGTACCAAACATCTGCGTTTGGGCTGTGGCTTCAGCTCAGTGCTAGAATATGAGTCCTTGGTTTTAACCCCCAGCGCAACACAAAGAGACACTTGAGCCTGCTGTGACAGGGCATTCCTGAGCACACAGCAGGTTGAGGCAGAGGCCGGTGCACACACCACCAGAGTTTGGGAGAAGCACATTCCCAACTCCTTTGCTCTGAGGACACTGGCCCCTTCCCTTGGGTTCTTGCCTGTTCCTATTTGTTTCTTTTTGTAATCTGCCTTCAGCCTCAGGTTGGGGCTGAGATCTGGGGGAGAGGGGAAGATGGATTGGCAGGTTGTTCCCCACGACAGGATCGGCATGCAAGCTCCCACAGGGGCTCGAGTTCTTGAGATGTGGATGAGTGGGATTCCAGATCAAAGTGAGGAACCCTGTGAGTGTGCAAAGTGTCACACCCCCTCTCCCCCAGGACCTGCCTGGCAGGGGTTCTGGTCATGGAACTCAAAGGCTCATCTGACTGTATTTTCAGCATTCTGTCTCCGGTCCCCATATGAAGAGTATAGAGGAGCAGGTTGAGCAGTCATGGTCGAAGGCAAGGGCTGTGTGGTGGCAGCTCTTTGAAGATTTAAGGAACAAAACAAAACAGCATAAAAGAACACATAGGTTAATGCAACCCATCAGACCCCAGATCCTTATGTACCATCCACAGCAACGTAGATGTTCATAAACCTTTGTAAAGGGAAAAAAAAAAAAAACAGGGTGTCTATCTCTTTGATCCAGGAGTGCTATTTCTAAAATTATTCATAATAAAGCAAGATCTGTGTGCCAAAGGTAACTACGGCATTATCTGTTAAGGTGGGAGAGGACACATTACGTAATGCCTAACAATAGACGTAGAGGGTGGGACAAAACACTGTAAGAGTTATAAAGGTTGGTGACCTATGTAAAACATGCCTAGAAGCCGAAGGGTGACGAGTTCATGATCAACTGGCATATGGATGAGATTCTGTCTCAAAAGACCCACCCAAACATAAAGGACTAAAGTGGGAGCTGGAGAGAGAGCTCGGCAGTTAAGTTCTCTTGCTGAGGACTGGAGTTCGGCTCCCAGCACCCACAGTGGGTAGCTCACAATTGCCTATAACTTCAGCTCCAGGGGATCTGAGTCCTCTTTCAGGCCTCTGAGGGTATCCACACAACACGCATATGTACTACACAAGCATACACAAAAATAAAATAAAGGTTTTAAATTTTTTAAAGTGACTTTTAGAAAGACTAAAATATCAGGCACATTATGAAGATATTGATGTATGTATATTATCAAATACTAGAAGTAAATATATGCAAGTAACCAAACATGTTAATGTTTAGACTGATGTGGTAAGAGGCTTTCCCGTGGAAAACATCTTTGTAGTGTTAGTTACACATTTGTAGCTATTTTATTCATTATTTTTAATTGTGTGTGTGCATGTACAGGTACATGAGTGCACACACATGAATGTAAAGACCCTTGAAGGTCAGAGCATCAGACACCCAAGGAGCTGGCATTACAGACCACCAGATGTGGGTGCTGAGAACTATTTGCAGTGCTCCTAACCTCTGACCCATCTTCCCAGCCCCTTTGTATCTAGACGCTGACAACCAAAAACTGGGTCGTTCTCTAGTGGAAGCTGCTGAGCATTACGGGATACAGAAAGTGTTTTTGGAAGAGGAAATCCAGCTGTTTCCCTCTCAGTCACAAACTCACTCCACTTCAGGAAGCTGAGTTTCCTTGGAGCCAAATCCCTGAGTTTTCTAAAGCGGCTTCTGCTGCTGAACTTAGAAGTGACTGGAGATTCTAGGTTGACTCCTCTGTGTTTCACTTCCCAGCCTCTATAAAAAGCCATCTGGTGCCAGGCAGTGGTGGTGCATGCCTTTAATCCCAGCACTCAGGAGGCAGAGGCAGGCGGATCTCTGAGTTCGAGGACAGCCTGGTCTACAGAGTGACTTCCAGGACAGGCACCAAAACTACACAGAGAAACCCTGTCTTGAAAAACAAAACAAAACAAAACAAAAAAAAAGCCATCTGGCAGGGTGGAGAGACGGCTCAATGATTAAGAGCTTGGGTTAAATCCCCAGCACCTACATGACTGCTCACAACCATCTAAACTCGGGTTCCAAGGGGGTACAGAGAGACAGTGCTGGCATAACACCCATGCACACATTTTAAAGAAAAAGGTCACTTTTGGTGCCTCTTCTGATTAATTTTCTCTAATTCATAGTCAAGAGTAAGCAGATTTCCAAACATTTCAGATGCCTTATGTCCCCTCAAACTCTTCCAAGTCCTTGCAAAGCCCCAAACACTAACATTTAACAGAAATCAGAGAACAACCTTATTTTTTCCAGACAGGATATTTCTATGCCACTCAGGCCAGCTTAGAATTCATGATCCTTCTGCCTCAGCATTCCAAATGCTGGGATGGCAGGTGTGCTGCACCAGGCCAGCTTGGATAAAACATGAGAGATGACATCATGACATCCCTCCACACCAAGCTGGCTTTATTTCTCCCATATATTCAATCGAATGTCACAGTATGTGTCTTTTCCTCAACACATATTGAGGGTTTTTTTTTATAGACCATATAAATTAGTATAGACATAACTATTAAAAACAGACTCATTAAAACATGTGTCTGATAATCTGACTGCATTTCTAGAAAGGCCCATTATTCTTGTGATTTATCCTGTTGTTTTTTTTTTGTCTTCTCCCAGTCCAGTATTGCAGAATTCTAGCAAATGCTTTTCTCTCTTGTTTAGAGCCACACCACCCCCCGTGGTGTGTGTGTGTGTGTGTGTGTGTGTGAGAGAGAGAGAGAGAGAGAGAGAGAGAGAGAGAGAGAGAGAGAGAGAGAGAGAAGGGAGACTGTAGCCCAGGCTGGCTCACTCCCTAGCCTTCTGTGTCAGCCTCTCCAGTGTGACATTACAAGTATGAGCCACCACACTTGTTTGTCCTTTAGAGAAAAGTTTTAGAAGAAGATTCCCTCTGTTCTTACCCAGAGCTTTCTAAGACACCTGGCTACCTCAGAACCCAGGTGCCTTCAGCTGAAGATGAGGAAAAAAAAAATCCTTTCCAGCGCTCTTACCTGGACCCTGGAGTTGCAGGCTGGACAGGGACACGGTGCGAATAGGGAACCCCCACAGTGTAAATAAAACCCTGCCTTCCTGCCATGGAACTCCCCAGTGCACATAACCTCAAAACAGCAGGAAGGGGAGGGACGGGGGGAGGCACAAGAAGTCTTGGACGAGCTTCAAAAGCAGCACTGGGGGTGGGCAGCATCTCTTTGGAGCACCCCTGGGTGTGTGGAAAACTTGTCCCTTTCTTCTGTCTTCTGAAATAAAAACGAGGGGACTCCAGGAGTGCCAGCAGGTGGAGTGTGGGAGAAGGGACCCTCACGGAAGACTTCTTTCCTTAATGTGAACAGCTTTCTCGCTGGCCTTGAGTCCATGGTATCCTGGGGTCACAGGTACAAAATAACAAAAATGACTGGGACAGTAACTGGATGGGTCACAGACCATTAGGATTGCTCTTGTTTACTTGGAGCCTTCAAATGATTAGTTACTGTTGCCTGTGACTTTCACCAAGGGCAAAACCAAATTCAAGGGCAACCTACTATTCAGTTAACCCTCCCAATGGCTGGCATTCACATCTCTGCAGGGCACTTTGGACAGCCAGAAGGAAAAGGCCTACAGTTGTGCTTTTGGGGCTAGTATGTTCCAGAGGTAGCTCTGAGCCCTCGTGACTTCTCAGGCTCTGGATAAGGCCCGACACTCCCAGTGACTCCGCTCAGTCCCTTTAAATATACCACACTGTAAAATAAAGTTATTTTCTTCCAGCTGGGTATTTAGCTCAGCGGTAGACCACTCGCCTAGCAAACACAAGGCCCTGGGTTCAGTCCTCAGTTCAAAAAAAAAAAAAAAAAAAAAAAAAGCTGGCAGTAGGCATGCACACCTTTAATCCCAGCACTCAGGAGGCAGAGGCAGGCAGATCTCTGTTGAGTTTGGGGCCAGCCTGGGCTACAGAGGAAGTTCCATGTAGATAGAGACTGAAGGAGTCTAGAGGCT